ATACCACCCACTGAAAGAAAAGAATCATCAGAAACGATTCCATTTATCGAGAGAAGGATCCATACTATTGTAGTGCACGGTGGGCAGAACCGGGATAGGCTCCTTGGTGACGTCGACACCAGAGAAGATGGCAGCAGTTTCAGATACCGGGCAGTCGTTCATGGAGGCCTTCAGCAGGCAGGTGGCTCAGTTGTAGGTAGATGTGATCCTTTTCCGGACCAACACCACGACCTTCGCGAATTTCAATTGTCATGGAAGGGGGAACGACATCACGTGAAGCAAGATCTTTCGCGGTAGGCGCCTATCGTTCCATGAACCGTTTACCCTCAGATTTCAGGAGATACCCTCCTTCACCTCGAGAACCTAAAACCAGAATGTCAGCCAAACACAGTTGTCGATGGCTTGTAAGTATGTTTACCTTCTGAGGCCCGGCACCATAAATACCCGTAGGATGGAACTGAACGAATTTCAGATCCTGAAGGGGAAGTCCGGCACGCACGACCATGGCATTTCCATCTCCAGAGCAAGGGTGGGTGCTCGTGCAGCTGAAGTACGTTCGCCCGTAACCGCCCGTCGCCAGGACGGTCTTGTGTGAGCGGAAACGACGGAGGTGCCGTCTTTGGTGTTCAGAGCAATGACACCCACGCACTCGCCGTCTTGCATGATCAAGTCGAGGGCAAAGTGCTCGATGAAGAAGTTGGTGTTGTGACGCAGAGATTGGCCGTAGAGCGTGTGCAGGAGGGCATGTGGTCAGCGGCCGCGCACCGGTAGGCCGACTACGTTTCCCTATTTCAAAGATTGTTCAGCAAAAGCGCGTTGGTGGATCTTATCCTCTGATGTACGCGAGAAAGGCACGCCATAGTGTTCAGCCTGCACGGGCGAAATTCAGTCGATTGAGGGTCTGGGAAAATGATGGCTACCTTCATGACACTCGGAGCTTCTCTACACATGTAGTAGGTTGCGTCTCTGTCACCAAGCCAGTCGGGTCCTTTGATCTACAGCAGGGAGAAACGTCAGACGACG